GTGAAGGTTCGCGAGTTATATAAACAAACGTTGTTCTTGTTGTTGTTACCTGCCCAGAAACAAATGGTTTTTGTTCACTCTGTCAAGCCGACCACAGAACACAGAGACAACTTTATTAACCACTTGGATCAATGGTATAAGAATTACGAGCCCACTGGCACACAAAAATTTAATGATGATTTAATTACCACTATTGAGAGTGTTCTCACAGATCAAGTGGGCAGGAATAGGAAACAAAGACCCTCCACTATAAATAACAATAAAAACCAATGTAAATACTATAATGATCCACAGCTGCGCAATCTAACACATGCAGCTAGGAGGATTGGTAAAGCATACCGTGAATGTAGAACCCCGGGACCTGCTCAGAACGTTCCAAGCTGCACTAACAATGCAAGGAATAGAAAGGAAGAACTTAGGCAACAGGAATGGGAACAGTTTGTTAGTGGATTAAATAGGTCCACCCTTTGAGTTTGGCTTGGAAGGTATAAATAAAATAACCAGGAAAAAGACTGGCAATGTTGCTCATCCCTTTCCTCTTGAAAAGCAAATGACCTCATAAATGACTGGGCCAAAAACACCCAGGCATGAAAGCCTTCCATCTCATATTAGAAAAAATTAGAGAGTACTTCTGAAAAAATGTTGAAACTGATTAATTTTATGAGCCAAAATATTGATGAGAGTGATTGCCTTTTTACGAGTATGAATTAGATAATGCATTAACCAAAGGCGATAAACTGCTCCTGGAGAGGATGGTATAACCTATGATATTCTCAGAACTCTAAGGCACGTGCCTGATAACCCTTTGTTGGCACTGTTTTAATCTCAGTTACATTGAGGGCTTTCTTCCTACTTCCTGGACCAATAGTCTCATTGTGCCTATCCCTAAGCCCCAACAGCCTGATACATTTAGGCCGATCTCCTTAACTAGTTGTCTTTGCAAAACTTTTGAAAGAAGATGCTTAACAGATTGTACTACAGAATCAGACATAAATTTTCCCCCCTACCTCTATGGGTTCATGAAAGGAAAAAAGTGTGCAGAACTGTATTTCCACCTTTCTCATTGCACACACCTCTACTAGTTTTAACCACTTTTCTTGATCTAAAAAACTGCATTTTATATTGCAAACAGAACAGTTATACTACATGAACTAGCCAAAATGAATATTGGTGGTAGCTTACTCGCTGGATAATAGGATACCTGTCAAATAGAGTATCCTCTGTCCTTTACCAAGGCTTCAGAAGTGATTCTAAAGAAATGTCTTTAGGTACACCGCAGGGGGAGTTCTTAGTCCCATGCTATTTAATATTCTGATTAATGCTCTCCTAAATGCTCTACCTGCCTCACCTAAACATATGCTATAAGCTATGCTGATGATATCATGATCCATACAACAGGGCATAAGAAGATGAATACCATTCTTAATGAAGTTCAAGCAATTTGTAATCGACTAGGCCTCATAATATCTTCCTCTAAACAAAGATTTAACAAGCAAAGACATCCCCCCCCCATCTATTTGCAGGGTGAAATCATTAGCTATGTTAAAACTTACAGATATCTTGGTGTAGATGTACCCTTTAAAAAAATCCACTATACCACAACTAAACAAGAAATGCAAAGTAGGCTAAATGCCCCTCAAGCTGTTGCTGGCTACAATCCCAACTATGGTGCTAATGTGAGAATCGTGAGAATGATGTACATAGCCTATGTTTTGGTCCTTAATTGATTATGCTGCTCCCCTGTTGATATTAGCTAGAGAAAGTTCCCTCCCACCCCTTTGGAGTTAATGCAAAATGAAGCTCTCAGGACTATTCTTGGCTGTCCCAGATCTACAAAAGTTCTTAACATGAGGAAGGAGCTTGGTATTTCTAGAATCAGTGATAGGATTGTTGAAATTAACACTGTACCGGTATTAGAATTTTGAGGAAACGAACCAGCCCACTGTCACAGTGAATCTTACCAAGTGTCTGGAGGTAAATACACACAGATCTAAATGGATTGTGAAAACGTGCAATTGCATTAAGTTTTATAACCTGCATGAACTGTATCACTGTAGGCAACAAGAGCATTTCACCCCTCCATGGAAGATTTTGTTCATTTAATATCACATACCTACAAGTCCTCCAAGAAGCTCATTGCTAGTAATCCCTTCCTTAAAACTCTTGTTAGAGCAACTGCTCAAGAAGAAATTTTTTGCCTAGTGGTAGTAATAAGTTATCACAAGTTATATACACTGATGGATCTAAACAGGAGTCTTCTGGCAGGGCTGCATCTGCTCTTGTTGCCACCCCCCTAGTTAAGAACGAAAAAAATTTGTTGAGTTAGGCATAAGAATTAAACAATGGGCGTCTACACTGCCCCAAAATGAATTGTTTGCAATCCTAATGGGCTAAAGCTAACCTATGACACTGAGCTTGACTCTATCATCATTACTGATTCTATGTCATTTATTGAAGGCTCTTGGCTCATATAATGACTCCAACAACATGCTCATTGGGGAACCAGGTATAGATACTCAAAAATTAGGGACAAAGGAATTAATGTACAATTGCTATGGATCCCATCACACATTGGATTACCCCTTCATGATAAAGTTGATATGTTAGCCAGAAGAGTATCCAGAAGGGAACGTAGAATATAACTTTGGTTATAACTGTGTCTAGCATTAGGAATAATATTAGGAGAGAAGTAAATAATGAAGATGATTGTTATAGGAATGCAGTTAGAAGCCTGAGTAGATTTTATAACCCACTATGATAACATGAACGTAGATAAGTATGTTTATGGAGCAACTTGCAATGTGAACAGACTGACTGATGTTTTAGTGGCCAGGCTTAGGCTTGGTTATAAGTACTTCTGGCAGTTTGGGAGACACACAGATGATGATCAAACTAAATGTAAATTATGTGATCAGGCATATGGTCACTCTCTTGAACACTATGTGCTTAATTGTCCACTTATTGAGGAATACAGAGACAGACAGTATAATAACCTATGTGACATGTCAAGATATCTTATTAATGAAAATAAGATACCAGATATACTAAGCAAATTTCCTAAATTTGCTTGTAACAGATAAGTGAACTATAGATATGTAGATATAAATCCATATGTATTCCTGTTAACTTTTTGGGGCCTAGTTCCTAGGCCTTTTGTGTATCCATATGCTCTCGCGCTATCGTCCACAGGATGGATATGGGGTGCACAATAAACTAGCCACTTCGGTGGCAAAATCTAATCTGTCAAGCCGACCAGAAAAACATCTCATATTTGTTAATTTATATGATTATATGTTATGTAGCATGTTTATTATACACAAATAACCCGCACATAAAAGAGAGAATCTTACGACGACGTTTCGGTCTGACTTGGACCATTGACAAAGTCACACTTTGTCAATGGCCCAAGTCGGACCGAAACGTCGTCGTAAGCTTCTCTCTTTTATGTGCGGGTTATTTGTGTATCGTTCCAGTCACGGTATTGTGCCTTTTTTTGTCATTTATGTTTATTATATAATTTTGAAAAAAAAATCATGATGATTAAGCAAAATGTCTATATTAACGTTTTTTTCACACATTTAATGCACCTTTGGTGATTATTAAATTTTGTTATTAAACATTATTAATATAAGAACATAAACATAAGAAAGGAGGAACACTGCAGCAGGCATGTTGGCCCATACTAGGCATCTTCAAGTCAGTTACACTCTTAATGAGTGGCTCTGAGACAGACAAGCAGACAGAAAGACAGACACAAGTAGAAAAGACAAAACAAGTAGACAGACACACAGGTAGACAGACCACCCGGTAGACAGACACACAGGGGAGACAGACCCCAGGGTAGACAGAAAGACACACAGGTAGACAGGAAAGACAAAACACGGTAGACAGACACACAGGTAGACATAAAGACAGACACACGGTAGACAGAAAGAGACACACAGGTAGACAGAAAGACACAAAAGGTAGACAGGAAAACACACACAGGTAGACAACACAGGTTTGACAGACACACAGGTAGACAGAACACACAGGTAGACAGACACAAAGGTAGACAGACACAGAGGTAGACAGGAAGACCCCCACACAGGTAGACAGACACACAGGTTTGACATAAAGAAAAGACACACAGGTAGACAGAAAGAACAGACACACAGGTAAGACAGAAAGACAGGCACATGGGTAGACGAAAGACACATAGGTAGACAGGAAGACACAACACAGGTAGACAGACACACGGTAGACATAAAGACAGACACACAGGTAGACAGAAAGACAGACACACAGGTAGACAGAAAGACAGGCACATGGGTAGACAGAAAGACAGACACACAGGTAGACAGAAGACAGGCAAACATGGGTAGACAGAAGACAGACACACAGGTAGACAGAAAGACACACACAGGTAGACAGAAAGACAGACACAGGTAGGACGAGACACACATGTAGACATAAAGACAGACACACAGGTAGACAGAATGAACACAGGGAACAGAAAGACAGCACACAGGTAGACAGAAAGATAGGATAAACAGACACATAGAGATACAGACAGAAGATAACAGGCAGACGATACAGACAGGTTTATGTCAACATGGAAAACAAATTGAGAGTTCGAGAGGAAGAGCCTTCCTTGCCACAATCTCCAGTGCAAGATTCAGACTTCATCTTAGGGGCTATGGTGAAATTTACTGTCCAGTTAGTAGAGTTAATACAGTATGATGCTGCTGATAGTGCAGGGTTACTCAAACTGATGTTGCCTGCATGACACATTGCCGCCGCGAGTATTGTCAAATATTGTGCAGCAGTGTGCATCAGCTGGCCCAGCCCAACTGCCAGATGCACGGTCGTAAGTTGAGTGGATGTATGTCGAGCAGGTCGTAAGTCAGATGGTAGGTGTATTAATCTGCCCCAAATGCCTAGGCATGCTAGTGTCCTTACTTGTAATTAATATTTTATAATGTGTAAACCACACATTGTAAGCTTTGCAAGGAAGTAAACATTTTAATTTCCATTTTCAGACAGCAACTTGAAGTTCAGTACCCACATCCAGCACATAACAAAGGTCTTCAAAAATGTAGGTATCCTCTACTCAAACAACACTACTTATATTCAGTGGTGGTTCATGTATAGGCACTGCGGAACTGCAGTGCCCTTATTTTCATTCGATATTATTGCTAATATTCAATATAATGAATCTTTTTTCTTTAATTGAATTAACAAAAAAAAAAGACTCATTATATTGAATGTTATCAATAATATCGAGTGAAAATAGGAGTACTGGCAGTTCTGAAGTGCCTATACATGAGCCGTTCTGCTTATATTGTACTACTAATCTGTCCTTACCTCGCCTATGGTATTTGTTCCTGTGATCTACTATGATTACCTAATCCAATGTCAGACAATGCACACACACTCTTCAGATGTTTAAATTTACCTATATACATAATATGCACTCATACTGGTGTGCATATTGAAGTTCAATACTTTATATCAGAGCATTTGTGAAAGCATATTAGACCAACCAGTTGACATGTATTAGTTGCGTGATTTGTTTACTTTTCAACATCGGCAAGAATTGAACATTTCTGGTATTTTGAGTTCAATTTCAAGGTACTTTTAGTCTATAAGCCATTCAAATCATCTCTACTTCTGTAATATAATCTTCCTTCTATCAAATGAGACCAAGAAAATGAGAATACATCAGTAACTACTGTACAAAATACACTACAAAGTTGCTATTTTAAACCAAAAATTCAGTCAATTTTTTTTCTCTCATGCACTGTGTGCTGCAGGAATTTTTTTTATACCACACACACTTAGCACACATACCCATTCCCTCACATGTAGATTTACCAGCTTTCTCCTACAAGGCTGGAAGCCGCTAGAATTTTTGAGTAGTAATACAGGACTGACAGTGGCTTGCAAGTCATAATATTATGGGACTGACAGTGAAAAGGATAATGTATACCCTTATAATGATGTTTTTAATGTGTACACTAATGTTTTGTGTTGTTAATGTATTCAGTCATATTGATGTGTGCTGGTGTTAATATGTACACTCGTGTTGATGTGTGCTGTTGTTAATGTGTACACTCTAATAACAATACCATCTTTATTTCTACAAGCACAGTAGATTTCATATTACATGGTAGTTACGTTCCAGAAAATGCTGTGTTAGATGAATCTATGTAACATAAACTGAAGACCTTATGGGAAAAATAGGCTTACATTCCTGGAAACCCACCAAAAGCCAAATAACTTTATTAGACATCTAGATATTTCAAAAACGAAAATGATAATGTTGTTTTTGTTGCTAAAGACAACAAATGTAATAGAAATAATAATTTTATTTTATTATCACACTGGCCGATTCACACCAAGGCAGGGTGGCCGAAAAAAGAAAAAACTTTCACCATCATTCACTCCATCACTGTCTTGCCAGAAGGGTGCTTTACACTACAGTTTTTAAACTGCAACATTAACACCCCTCCTTCAGAGTGCAGGCACTGTATTTTCCCATCTCCAGGACTCAAGTCCGGCCTGCCGGTTTCCCTGAACCCCTTCATAAATGTTACTTTGCTCACACTCCAACAGCACGTCGAGTATTAAAAACCATTCATCTCCATTCACTCCTATCAAACACGCTCACGCACGCCTACGGGAAGTCCAAGCCCCTCGCACACAAAACCTCCTTTACCCCTCCCTCCAACCTTTCCTAGGCCAACCCCTACCCCGCCTTCCTTCCACTACAGACTGATACGCTTTTGAAATTCTGTTTCGCTCCATTCTCTCTGTATGTCCGAACCACCTCAACAAACCCTTCCTCCCCCTTTCTGGACAACAGTTTTGGTAATCCCGCACCTCCTCCTAACTTCAAAACTACGAATTCTCTGCATTATATTCACACCACACATTGCCCTCAGACATGACATCTCCATGCTCCAGCCTTCTCCTCGCTGCAACATTCATCACCCATGCTTCACACCCATATAAGAGCGTTGGTAAACTAAACTCTCATACATTCCCCTCTTTGCCTCCAAGGAAAAAGTTCTTTGTCTCCACAGACCCCTAAGTGCACCACTCACCCTTTTCCCCTCATAAATTCTATGTTTCACCTCATCCTTCATAGACCCATCCGTGACACGTCCACTCCCAAATATCTGAATACATTCACCTCCTCCATACTCTCTCCCCCCAAATCTGATATCCAATTTTTCATCCCCTAATATTTTTGTTACCCTAAAACCCTTACTCTTTCCTGTACACTTTAATTTTTTTCTTTTGACACCCTAAAAAACTCCACAATCTCTGCAACTTCTCTTCGAATCCCCCAAGAGCCAGTGTCATCAGAAAAGAAACTGTGCAATCCCACTGTATGTTTGTTTCTTTATTTTTAACTCACGCCCTTGTCAAGACCCTCGCATTTTTCTTTCAACCCCCATTAAAAAATAATTAAAACAACCACGGGGGACACACAAACCCTTTTTAAAGGGCCCTACTTTTATGGGAAAAAATTTTCCCCTTTTCCCTACTATTAATTTGGGCCCTCACTACCCTGAAAAAAATCTTCATGCTTTAGAAACCTACCTCCTACACGTACCCTGCAACATTCCCACATTGCCCCCCATCCCCCCTGTCATACCCCTTTTCCAAACCCATAATCCAAAGACCTCTTTAGCTTACAAAATTTTTCACTTTAGTTTCACTGAAAAACCCCTGGTCCACAACCCCCCCTCCCTTTCCTAAAGCCTCCTTGTTATTGCTACCCTATTTCCCCGTCTTACTTTAATTCTTTCAATAAAAAATTTTCAACACTTTCCAGGTATATTAACAGACTTTCCCCTATAATTTTTGCACTCTTTTTGTCCCCTTTGCTTTATGAAAAGGAATATGCATGCCTCTGCCAATCCTGGCCCCTTCCCCTTTTTCCATACTTTATTAAATAATTGCCCCAAACACCCCAAAACTATATCCCACTGTTTTTAAAAAAATTTTCTATCTTTATCCAAAAATCCGGTGCCTTACCCCCTTTCTTTTACCTACGGGTCACGAACTTCCCCCCCAACTCACAATGGCTCTTCCTCATCCTACAAGATGTTTTTTCCTCCTTGCCCCCATACACGAAATACAGCTTCCCCTTTTTTCATAAAAATTTAAAAATTCCTCAAAAAATTCCCCCCATCTTCCCCAAAACCTCTAACCTCCCTTTAACCCTTTCGGGTCCTCCCGTAAAATCTACGGCTTTTCGGTGAGTGTCCAAACGTAGATCTAGCCAAAATTCAGGGCCCTCAAAAATTTTGCGTGAAAAGCTATGGCCTACTGTGGAGAAAGGGTCTGGCCCTGGGTGTGGCGTTAACAAAAAATTATGCGCCTGCATAGCATTGTGGGAACGCCGGCTCAGTCACCCTTGTTCACCATGCCTCGTCGCAAGTCAGCTCTCACTCCCCGGAAAATTGGGACTCTCCTCTTCCTGTCTGATAGTTCTGACACGATGGAAGTGCAAATGAAAACGAATTCACGGCTTTGATAAGTTAGTGACCGAAAATAATGACCAGGATATCGATAATAGTGCAGAAAACCGCGACGATCCTCGACCTTCTTCCTCTGGTGTGGGCACTCGTGACTCACGGTCGGGTGTTTCCTAAATGTAAGAGAAAACTAAATATTTTCGCGTGGCCAGGCCTCTGACTTCAGTAATGATGATGATTCTGACTGTGGATTGTGATTTTATTGCGCTCGACGATCATTCGAGTAGTGATAGTGAGGAAACATATTCACCAGTGAAGCGTCGGTATGTTCGCCGCCGCATGCGCTCGGGTAGTGTACCCTATGCTGTGTGCCCAGGGGACGGAGTACATCCCGGAGTACATCCCGAGTACATCCCGGAGTAACATCCCGGAGTACATCCCGTGGCTCTACACCCGTTTTAGGTAGTGATAGTGAGGATGATGTGGCTACACTTGGCATGGATGGGCCACAGGCATCAGTGGATGGTGTTAGTGGTGCTGGTGGTGGTAGTGGCACCGCCATGCGTGACTCACTGTGCCACGCGGGGACCCACGCTGCTGACTCATCAGTTCAAGGACAAAGCGGAGCTCACCCACCAGCCCGCCACAACCACAACCACCCGTACAACCAGCCTATGATGTCCAGTATCCACCAGCAAACCGTATCTGGGATTGGCAGCAAAATCCCAATTTTGTTCCTAGCCCTCACCACTTTGATGACTCTCAAAGTGGAATTCTACCTACCTGTCCCCTTGGAACCATGGCCAATGAACTGGAATTCTTTGAATTATTCTTTGACCAGCCATTGATGGAAATTATTGTCAGGGAAAGTAATAAGTATTTTCAGTACACCATGGCAAATATGATCTTATCACCACAGTCAAGACTACACAGGTGGAAAGAGACGACTGTTGCAGAAATGTATTTGCTTTTTGCAACAATAATGCTTATGCCTCACGTCTATAAGCATAATATAAAAGCATACTGGTCCACAGATTGGCTAATTTGTACCCCATCCTTCAGTGAAATAATACCAGTGAACAGGTTTATCTTACTGTTACGTATGTTGCATTTCTCTGACAAAACCAGGCCTGACAGAAGTGACAGGTTATACAAGATTAAAATGTTTTTCATGGTATCTCAAACAAAAGTTCAGGATATACTTTATCCTTCAAGAACTTGTATTGACGATCTTATTTGTTCAAAGGTAGACTGTCATCAAGCAGTATATACCGAGCAAGAGGAACCGCTTTGGTATAAAATTGTTTGTACTCTGTGATTGTGACAGGGCCTGGTGTTGGATATTGTTGTATACACGGGTAGTAAAACATTGAAAGATACCAAATGTATTGGGTATCTCGGTGACTTTGTGAGAAAAAAGATGGCACCTTATCTTGGTAAGGCCATACATTATATACCGATAACTGGACACAAGCCCATTACTCAGTGATTTCATGCGAGTGAACAAGACAGATGTGTGGGGCACAGTGCGTTCTAATCGTAAAAATATGCCCAGGCCAATGCAGGTGTTCGTGGTGATGACGTGCAGGTGTTTACTGCCAATGAC